TGAGTACAGTGGGATATGGACATTCTGCCCTAAGCTTGTTCCTAGTAAATATATCCAGGGGACATTACACCATATATTTAGAATATTTTGCAATACTATTCCGGTAATCTGTCATGTTGAAGTTCACTGACTTAAACAGGCAATTTCATGCTGTAATGGTTATGGTAACAACAGCCAGAAGAGAGCCATAAGCTCCTGCTAGGAATCTGTTAGCGCTCCTGAGCTAAGTCCTGCAGTGAAATGTGAGCTCATTTAGCCAGTTAGCTAACTCCTGAATCGATGGGTCCATGTCTCCCCATACAGCTTTCAGTAGGGACTGGTGCCCTTGAAACTCCAGGTATGCCGTAAAACTGTTACCAAACAGTTTGATTGCTTACATAAGGGTGGCTTCAGGTTGCTCATGGCACCATAACCACTACAGTGTCTTTTGAATGTTCCTTTGAGATTTGTTTGCACAAATACACAGTGGAACAGATTGTGACCATCAACCTGTCCATTATTTGTCATCAATTCTGACCATTATAAAGAGAGAATCTCTTTCTTATGTAAGTCAGCACTATGCATTTTTTGTGCCACCATGTTTTTAAAAAAAATGTGAACGGGGGACTTAAGTTCAAGAGAGTATAAAGGCCCAACGTCAAATTGTCTTGGATTACCTTTTGGAAAATAAGGTTTCCTACCTCACGCCAAACATGAGCATGTCCACCACATATACACACGAGTCTCCCTTAGTGTGCCTGATTTCCAAAAGAGGGGATCTGAATGATTACACTGCTGTAGTATATCATTGAAGTATTATTTTGTACAGAGAGTTATACTAAAAAATCAGTTTCCTATTGCTGCATGCAAGTCAGTCTACCCACTTTCATTAAACTGAGCTAAAGAGAGAGTAGATAGTGAAAATAAAGGCTTTTTAGATCAAACCTATTTACAAAGTCCATTGAAGTATTCCGCCCTAATGCTGCAGCTTTTTTTCTGGGTGAGTGGCATAATCTCTGATCTGGAAATATCTAAAATAATCTCTAGTTAAAGGTTATATATTCTACTGCTTAGCACAGGGATTCCCAATTAACTTTTCCCTTGGAACCCTTTGACATGGTATAGCAAAACTTTGGAACCTCCCCCTAAAAATGTGTGCCATAGAGTAATGCAGCACAGAGCAGTGCAGCACAGAGCAGCACAAACCTTTCAATGAGCAGAGTGTAATGTTGTCTTTTGCTGGCAAATTCTTTTTATATCTGGATTAATTGTTGACAATTGTATTCGCATGTCTGCAGTTGCGTCAAGTCGATTTCGAACTTTGTTTTTGTTGCAGAGTAAAGCAAGAATCCAGTTTCACATAAGTACGTGCTGGCAAATGGCAACAGAACTTTGATTGCCCGCTTGGACAATCCTGGGTATTCTTTGCGTAAATCACCCCAAAAAGCAATAAGAGAAACTTCTTTAAATTGTTGGCTTAGTTGACTATTAGAATTTTTATCGATCAGATTCTCAAAATCTACATCAGAAAATTGTCTGGCTTGTCTTTTATGAATGGATTTCGAACCCAGTCATTATTGTTTTCATTCAAGAATGGAAAATACTGATTAATAGATGTTATTAGTGATTAAATGGCAAAGATGTGCTACATTTTCATTGCAAATTTCATCTTCAAGTTCAATTTCTAATTCTAAGAAAATCCTTAAGTGTTGGCAAAGAGTTCAAATTATTTTGCTCAGCAGGTGAGGTCCAAAACTGCAGCTTACGAGACAGTGAAAGTATTTTATCTCTTGCATTAAAAATATTAATGTTTTTTTCCTTGGAGTGATAAACATACATAATTTACTTTTGTGAATATGTCTGCAAGATATGCTACTCAGATAATCCAAATTTATGATCCTGGAAATACGCAAACAACCCTTGACGCAATTCAAACATTCTAACAAGGACTTTACCTCGTGATAGCCAACAGACTTCTGAATGCAAAAGCAGAGCAGAGTGGTGACTACCCATATCTTCACATATTATTTTAAATAGTTGTTACTGTAATGGTCAACTTTTTATAAAATTAATAATCTGGACCAATTCATCTACCACAGCTTTAACCCCTTAAGGAAAGATGATGGAAATATTCTGTCATGATTCCCGTTTATTCCAGAAGTTGTGTCCTTAAGGGGTTAAGTGAGATTTAAATATTTTTAGCTACCAGTGCATGTCTGTGAAGAACACAGTAAGAACTGGTGCTGTTTTTTTGCTACATTTTTTATTCGTGTCACAGCACCTGCCACTTTCCCAACCATTGTTTTGGCACCATCACTGAACATCTACACATTTGTCCCAATTTATACTGTGTGTGTTTATGAACTTCTAGATACAGTTAAAAATGTTCTCACCAGTGGTATGAGTTTTCAAAGTTTCACACAGAAGCAAGTCTTCTTCAATCTGTTTGTCAAAATTATATCTAACAAAAACCAACAAAATTGAAAATTCTGCAACATCTGTGGACTTGTCTAATTGCAGTGAGTACCCATCACATTGATGCAGTCGAGAAATTAGTTCAGTATGGATGTCATCAGCAAGATCATGAATACAGCTCAAAACTGTGCTGTTGGAAATTGGCACAGCTTCAATTTGTTTACTCATCTTCTCACTTAAAATACATGACACTATTTCTTTTGCACATGGTTTTATTAGTGGTTCCCCAATTGTGTGTGCTTCTCCTGCAAGTGCTACCTGGTAACTCACTCTGTAAGAAGCCTCTGTGGCTTTTTCATTAGCATTTTGAAATGTTTTGCTCATAAATTGTTTACTCTTCTGATACTCCTTTAGCTTTCGCTTAAAAAAGTCAATGTCTTTATCTTTGTACTCTGCATGGTTTTGCTCAAAATTACGACGTAATATTTTATTGCAAAGTACGCATTTTGCTTCAGGACAATCTTTATTTCTGGCACTTGTGAATCCAAATGACAAGTAGCTATCATCATATTTTCTTTTCTTTGAGAAGAAGATTGGCTAGCATTACATAGTTACATAGTTACATAGCTGAAAAGAGACTTGCGTCCATCAAGTTCAGCCTTCCTCACATTTGTTTTTTTCTGTTGATCCAAAAGAAGGCAAAAAACACAGTTTGAAGCACAATTTTGCAACAAGCTAGGAAAAAAATTCCTTCTTGACCCCAGAATGGCAGTCAGATTTATCCTTGGATCAAGCAGTTATTACCCTACATTGAAAGATTATATCCTTGAATATTCTGTTTTGCAAGTATGCATCTAGTAGCTGTTTGAACATCTGTATGGACTCTGATAAAACCACATCTTCAGGCAGATCCTTCAGGCCACATCCTTATTGTTCTTACAGTAAAAAAAACCTTTCCTTTGCCTTAGACGAAATCTTCTTTCTTCCAGTCTAAACGCATGACCTCGTGTCCTATGTAAAGTCCAGTTTGTGAATAGCTTTCCACACAATGGTTTGTATTGGTCCCGAATATATTTGTATAATGTTATCATATCCCCTCTCAGGCGACGTTTTTCTAAACTAAATAGGTTTCAATTTGTTAACCTTTCTTCATAGCTGATATGTTCCATTCCTTTTATTAATTTTGTAGCCCGTCTCTGCACTTTTTCTAGTGCCATAATATCCTTCTTTAGAACAGGTGCCCAAATTGTAAAGCATATTCAATATGTGGTCTTACCAGTGAGTTATAAAGAGGCAAAATGATATTCCCGAGAATGAATGCCCTTTTTCATGCATGACAATACCTTACTGGCCTTGGCCACTGCTGATTGACATTGCACATTGTTGCATAATTTGTTGTCTATAACAATTCACAAGTCCTTTTCGTGTGTTGTTATCCCTAATTCACTTCCATTAAGGGTATACGTTGCTTGTGTATTATTTACGTCGAAGTGCATAACTTTGCATTTTTCAACATTAAATTTCATCTGCCATTTGAGTGCCCAGTCCCCCAGTCTATCTAAATCCCTCTGCAGCAAAGTAATATCTTGCTCACATTGTATTAATTTACAGAGTTTTGTGTCATCTGCAAACACTGAAACATGACTTTCAATGCTGTTTTCAAGATCATTTGTAAACATGTTAAATAGAAGGGGTTCGAGAACAGACCCCTGAGGGACACTACTTGCCACCTTTGTCCAACTTGAAAATTTACCATTAATGACAACTCTTTGTACTCTGTTTTTATAATTCTTTATTTTTCTTTGTGCATGGAGTAACAAATCATTTGTAAATGCCACAGCAGCATATTTAAAAGATATGAACACAGTAGCTGTACATTTATGGCATAAGAGTATCAGCACAATTTTTAAATGTTGAGTTATGAACAAGCTAAGCGTAATGCAAGATTAACCCACGTTTGTTAGTAGCAGGAGTATTTGCACATTCATAGAGTATTAACCAGCTTTATTAGATGATTATACTATCAGAATAGATATATGTAAAACAATTGAGAATAAGTAATGCTTAACAGTTATAGGTTAACTACGTTAGTACCAGTGAGATGTGGTAACATGCTTTCATGTTTCAGGGTTAGGATACGTTGAGGCTCTGACACGTAAAGATTTATAAAGCATGAGAACATATGTTAAAGTAGGCCGCTGATCACTAGCTATGCTTATTGGGTAAATCTGTAAACAGGTAGATCTGAGCAAATGAATATCATAAGTTATAGTTACAAATAACACCAGGATATTCATGCTTATATATCATATGGTCCTGTTAGGGAGTAGTATTCAGAGTAGTGAGATAGATGGGAAAACATGACTGGTATAATTTTTACTTTAGCACGACTGTATAATAGGTACATGTTAAATTGCCTAGTGAGGTGGCTAAGTATACTTGTCTGGCTAGGCATAAATTTTGTAGTGGCATGAGTGTGCTATTTGTCGATTATCTCAGGGTAGCAAGGCTTGAAACTATTGCGGGATATAGTCCTCCATGACTGCATGAGCGTGGTGGTGTGGCAGCAGTCCAGGCCGCAGTGCGGCAGGGTGAGTCAGTGAGAGTCAGCCGACTCCTGTAGTCGGCTCTGGCAGGGCACATACTGGAAAGTCCCATGGATCCTCAGAGCCTCGCGTCAGAAGATGTGGAGGGTCTCCACCATTGTTTCCCAGACCCACGTGAGTGCTTTGGATGGCGGGGACACCGACACTACTGTGGCGGCTCAGTGGTTTTCCTTCTCCTGCCACCGCTCTGCGGGTAAGTGTCTCTGAATTTCTGTTGAACGTGGGGTCAAAGTCCTTCTGAGAGCTAGTTGCGGCTTTGCAGCGCCGCTGGTGGATGATGTGCTGACAGGCCCTCTTTGCACCGTCTGCTGTGGACCGGGTGTTGGCCCGTCGGGTGTGCCTCCTTTTTGCTTTAAGCAGCGGCGGGCTGTGGAGTGTTGCTCTCCGATGCTGACGACGCTCGGGTTGACGACTTCGGGTATGCGACGTGCGGCCTTGAGGTCTGGGTTTAGCTCCCCTCACCTCCTGCCGCCGTGCCCCGGTCATTGGCTTGGCTGTGTGCTTCGGTGCCGGGCTCTGTGCAGGTAATCTGGTGGGCGGTCGAGAGGTCTTTGTGGTTGCTCGGGTCTGTGTTATGTCCCACCATCTCATCCAGAAGTGGTCGAAGGCCGCCGCTATGTTGTCCTTGTAGGGGAGCTTGTTTGTCTGCTGCTCGGGTTGAGGCTGAGCGAGTGGAGGCCCTAGAGCCTGGTCGGCAGTCGCCATCTTGGCCTCCGAGTGTGGGTCGCCTGTGGTCACGGAGGCTGGTAGGGTCCCGTGGCCCTGTAGAGATTGGGCCGGGATGACCCCCGCCGGCCCATGGGGGGGGGATACGGGCTCTCGATCGCAGAGATAGCCGGTCTTGGCAGCAGGAGGGCGGCCGTCCCCCCTGTGCTCGCCATGTGAGTAGGCCCCGGACACCTGGCCCGTGGTTGTAGCTTGTAGTGTCCCTTGTGGGGTAACATTTTGTTCAGCCTGATGTTCCCTTGCAGTTGCTGGCCTTCCTGGCCCGATCAATCGCTTTTAAAGTCGTGGAATTAGGGTTTTAGTACAGCTTAGTGCAGGAGCTCTTTTGATACACGTCCACACGGCTCTGCGGTCAGGCCCCGCCCCTCTGTACTCTGTTTTTAAGCCAATGTTCTACCCAAGAACAAGCATTTTCATCTAGACCGATTTCCTTGAGTTTGAACACTAACCTATTGTGTGGAACTGTATCAAATGCCTTGGCAAAATCTAAATAGATCACATCCACTGCAACACCCTGATCTATACTTCTACTTACTTCTTCGTAGAACGCAATCAAGTTAGTTTCCTGAAAGAAAAGAAGAAAATAATCTTGAAAAATTAAAAACAGAGGTTCACTTATTTCTACACTTAGTTCCTTAAGTATTCGTGGATGGATACCGTCAGGCCCTGGAGCTTTGTTTATATTAACTTTCTTTAGTTGCTGCAGCACCTTGTCTTGAGTTAACCAATCACAATTATTCTGCAAGTTTTTAGTAGCAATCATTTGCATATCTATTGCCATGGGTTCTTCCTTAATATATACGGAGGATAAATAGTTATTTAAAATTCCTGCCTTTTCCTGGTCTTCATTAACTAAGACCCCATTTTAGTTTTTAGTGTACCTACACTTTAATTTTTGTGTTTTTTAGAATTTATGTACCTAAAAATGCTTTGGGGTTGGTTTTGCTCTCTTTAGCTATCAATTTTTCATTTTGAAGTTTAGCAAATCTAATTGCCTTTTTGCACGCATTATTTGCTTCCTTATATCATAAGATGCATCTGATTTGTCCGATTTAAATGTTTTAAATGCCCTTTTCTTATTTTTAATCTCTTGTTTTACTTCTCTGCTAAGCCACATTGGTTTTAATTTGTTTCTTTTATATTTATTTCCCAATGGTACATACTGAGAAATGTACCTTTCTAATATTTGTTGGAAGATGATCCATTTATCCTCAGTGTTCTTTTCACTAAAGAGTTTATGCCAGTCAATATATTGTAAAGCTGCCCTTAACTTATTGAAATTGGCCTTTTTAAAATGATATGCTTTAAAATGAAGTGCTCACCTACTTGAATGTTGGTCAAAAGATCAACGTTGTTTGTTAAAACCAGGTCCAGACAAGCGTCCATTCTACTTGATGCTTGTACAAGTTGTGATATGAAGGTGTCATTTAACAAGTTTAAAACCTAATTCCCTTTGCTGAACTACTAGTCCCTCTGTCCCAATTTATGTCCGGGTAATTAAAATCTCCAATAATTAAAGTGTTACCCAGATTTGCAGATTTCTCAATTTGCTCAAACAGCTGTTGTTCCTCGTCAATATTAACATTAGGTGGTTTATAACATATCCCAACCAATAGTTGGTTTCCCTTCTTTTCCCCCAAGCAGATATTTACCCATAAAGCTTCCACATTTTCCTCATCTCATTCCACTTGCTTAAGATTTGGCTTTAAATGGTTGACATACAAACATACCCCACCGCCCTTCTTGTTTTTCCTATCCTTCCTAAATAACATGTACCCATTTAAGTTAACTGCCCAGTCATGTGTCTAATCCCACCATGTTTCAGTTATGCCTATTATAACATATTGTTTAGTGTGCTTTTGTGTGCTTTTCTTTTTTTTTTTTTACTTGTCATTTGTCGCTGCTATTTGAGAAACAGTAGATAAAACTATTTCCTGCATGTTTTCTGGATTTTTAGTTGTATCTTCTTTCTCAGTTTCTATAAGTGCCGAACAGGTAGAAGTAGTAATAATTTTTATTTTTAGAGTTTATCTTACAGAGTCTTTCAATGTCCCTTACAGAGCCTTTTAATGTCCCTAACCGATAATTTCAATTCCCCTGACAGAGCCTATTAATGTCCCTAACAGAGAATTTCAATGACCCTAAAAGAGTCTTTCAATGCCCCTGACAGAGCCTTTTAATGTCCCTAACAGAGAATTTCAATGCCCCTAACAGAGTCTTTCAATGCCCCTGACAGAGCCTTTTAATGTCCCTGACAGAGCCTTTTCATGTCCCTAACAGAGAATTTCAATGCCCCTCACAGAGTTTTTTAATGCCCTTCACAGAGTCTTTCAATGCCCCTGACAGAGCATTTCAATGTCACTACCTAACAGAGAATTTCAATGTCCCTACCTAACAGACAATGTCAATGTCCCTACCTAACAGAGCTTTCTATGTCCCAACCTAACAGAGCTTTCTATGACAATAACAGAGCTTTAACTATCAGGTCCACTCTCTATCACTCCTCTAGCATGAATGATAGAAAATGGCTGATGGCAGGGCTGGCTGGCTGACGGCTGGGTGGGCTCTCTCACGTCTGAACTAAGTGACTGGTTGATGGCAGGGCGGGCGCTTGAGCGGGCTCAGACGCCTGCGTGTGCTGACAGCAAGGTGTGCTGACTGCAAGGCGGGCTGATGGCAGGGCGGGCTTAAGATCTCACTCCCTTGATCTCTGCTGTTTCCGACCTTCTGGGAACAGAAGGTAGCGGCAGCCATCTTGAATGTGGCGAAATGCCACGGAACCCCAATTAGGAAACACTGGCTTAGCATATCACAGCCAACCATTCAACTACCTCATAGCCACAAATAAAACTGGGGCAGGTCTCTGAGACTAACATACTTGCATAACTGGCCCTTTTAGGTTATAATTTGGGCCAGTTGAGCAGATGGGTATTATAAAATCAAACTAGATATGCTAAGACCTCCATCTCTGCATCTTTTGTTATTCAATATAATTATTACCTCATAGCAGCAGTTGTAACAAATGCATTTCTAAATCAATTCTACATCGTGTTTATTTTTCAGTGTTTTGAGTCAATCAGAATTCAGCTTGATTTCAGACCATTGTCTATGACCAGAAACGACATAAATAAAGATAGGCTTAATAGCAGCCTCCTCTTTGAATGGATTGATAACAGTAAAAATGCAAATATCAGATATTTTATATTGGAAGCATTTATGTGTTAGTATTAAGGCTCCTTTAAAACTTCCTTTGTCTGGGGGGCGGAGCCTGGCCTTGGTAAGAGATGGACGCTTAGTCCTGCGGCTCCCTCTCTCCCCGTGATAGAATCCGCCAACATCTGCGGCCACAGGCACCCCCAGTTCTTAAATACAATACCCCCTTCCAGTTTGTCCTGGGTACACCACCTGGGCATGGGGGGATCGAGAAAAAAAAAGGAGAACAACCCGTCTGTTGCTACGTTGTTCCGCTCTCAGAGCACACCTCGGCGGCCATCTTGTCGAGGGGATATGGCGGACTCCAGCCCAGACTCAGAGGGCTGTGGGCGCTCGACTGTAGCTGACCTTCCCTTAACCAAAAGGTACCTATTGGCGCTCCTACTGAATGCCACTACCGACATCAAAGCGCACACAGCGGCGGAACTGGACCGTCATCTACAGGCCCTGAAGTCGGACATCGAGGCCTTGTCCCGACGGACCGACCAGGCTGAAGCACGCTTGACAACCCTAGCTGATACCTCCCGCTCCCATTCCCAAGACATCACCTACCTCCACGGGAAAATAGCGTCATTAGAAGAGGAGCTGGAGGATCTCAACAACCAGTCGCGCCGGAATAATATCCGGGTCCGGGGCCTCCCTGAGTCAGTGCCTCCTGATCGCCTGCAGACAACGCTAGTCGACTTGTTCCGGTCCCTGCTGCCAGAAGCATCGGAACGGGACCTCGAGCTGGATAGGGCACACAGAGCCCTCCGGGCCCCGGTCCTTAGCCCGGACACCCCGAGGGATGTTATTGTCCGTCTACACAGGTTCCCAGTTAAGGAACTGCTGCTACGGAAAGCGCGGCAAAATCCACCGCTGTACCAGGGCAAGAAGGTGGCCTTTTTCCAGGACCTGGCGCCCCTGACCCTTAAAAAGAGAAGGGATCTTCGGCAGCTAACACTTACCCTCACTCATTACGGAATCCGGTACATGTGGGGCCACCCCTTTAAATTGGTGGTCCGCAAGGAAAACCAGACCCACATCCTCAGTACAGCGTTGGAGATGGCCCCCTTCGCAGCATCCTTGGGCCTGGAGCTTCTCCCACCACCCTCTCAAGCAGCATCGCGACCCAGGGGAAGACCTGGAGGGGCGACCACCGGGGCAGACCGCTCACCTCGCCGCACGCCAAGGAAGAGAGCATCGGAGATGGAGAGGAGCCCCCGGAGGCCACAACAGATGAGGCAGAGCTAAGCAGAGGGCTGCTCACTCTAGGCGGCAGCGCACTGGACATGACACGCTGGAACTTTGTTATTGATGGGGACTGCATTCCTGGACAGTAAGCGCCCGGAGAGGGCATGGGGGGGGGAGGGTTAGAGTCCCCTAGATGGTGGTAAGGGTACCCGAAGGGGGTTATAGTCGTGGCTCCCCAGGCGAGGCTGTGGTATAAGTTGGGGGCCCAGGCCCGATATGAGGGTTGGCACTACCTATCCCTGGACCCCTGGGGGCACTAGGGACGGCCCGGGCTCCGGTCTCTCCTATCCCCCCCAACCTGCCGGTTGATAGACTACTGGGACTTATAGCACACTATTCGGGCGGGTGGAGGGGAGGGGAAGGAGGCCCGCCAGGGGGGACGCTCACTGAAGGCAAGGGAAAAAGGGGAGCGGAGGTGGGAGGGAAGCTGGGGGGCACAGGGACGCAAGGTACAAGGAGGGGAACCGGGGGTGGGGGGGAAAGGATTAAAAAGAAGAGGGAGGATGAAGAATGATCAGTGGGCCAAGAAAAGGGACACAAAATTTTATTATACAAAAAAGAAATAGAAAGACAAACAGGAAAGAAAGGAACGGCCAGAGAGAGGAGAGGAAAACGAAAGGGAGAGGGAGGACACAAAAAGAGCAGCGTAGGGGGTGGGAGGAACAATGGGGAGGGAGAGGGTAACGCTGGTTTTAGAGGGGGGGGGAAGGAATGCACGGGGGGGATGGTACTCCAGTCTAAGAGGAGGGGGACACACTTAGGGGGTCGCGAAGGCCCACTGTTTGACGGACCGAAGGAGCGAGGGGGTCGGTTGCCCACACGGTTTGACCGACCCTCGGGACTCTCATGCCCTTGGCATGGCTTATTTCTAGGGATGACAGGCTTACCCAGCATGAGTGAGAGTAAACGCACCAGCCGACCTTGACAAGGTGGCAAAGCTGCTAGCCGCTTGGAGGGGCTCCTGCACAAGCTTCCAAGCTATAGATGTAAATGTATATAGTTCTCCACGTAACTCTAAGTTATGACATAGTTGATTCTCCATACACTACACTCTAGTGCCAGGCACACTTCACTAGCAACTGACGGGGGGAGGGGGGCTGATAGTAGTGACCTGTCTCTCTTCTCGCACCCACACCCTTTGAGACCCTTACTAGGGGCCTTCACCCAATCCATTACACCACAAGGCTCTTCTCCGCCCTCCGGGCTTGGCACTCTTCCTTTAAGCCCAGGCTTACCCACACCAACTTTGGTTGGGGGGGTGTTTCGTTGTGTGTTTTTTTTTTTCCCCTCTTCCTTCCCCCTCCCATTTGTCTGCAGGGGCCACCGCACCCTCCTCGCCCGCTAGTCGGTCACTGCTATGTCTAAGGGGGACCGGGATAATCTGCCCCACCAGGGACCCACCACGGCGGAACAACCGCTCCGGCTGGGATGCGTCTCGATTAATTGCAAAGGCCTGAATAATCCAGCTAAGAGGCACCGGGTCCTCAGATGGGCCAACAGGACTGGGGCGGATGTCATCCTTCTCCAGGAAACACATTTTGAGCATACTAGGGCCTTCCCTTTGCGCAATAGACATTATACAGTCTGTCATTTAGCGAACTCACCCTCGGGTAAACAGAATGGGGTAGCCATTCTGGTCCGTAAGACCTGCCCTATTCACTTCACATCCACAGTCGCGGACCCATTGGGGAGATACCTGATGGCAGCGGGCCACCTGGGATCACATAAATATGCCATCACGTCGGTCTATGCTCCCACGACCCCATCGGTGCACTTTTGGGACTCTTTTCAGGCGCATCTGGGCCTCTTCCCCTCCCACCACGTGATTATCGGCGGGGATTTTAATGCGGTTCCGGCCCCAGAACATGACAGGCGGAGGCGGTTCCCGATGGACTCCCACCAGGCGTCCGTCGCGAAATCGGACAAACTGCTTCAGTCCTTCCTGAAGGCAACACAGTTAGTGGACGTATGGCGGCTCCAACATCCCCTGACAGCAGACTTCACCTTTTTCTCGCACCCTCACACCTCATACTCCCGAATTGACATGTTCCTGACATCCCCTTCCTTGCTACAGTTTCTGCACAGAACCTCTGTCGGTCAGATCACGTGGTCAGACCACACCGACATCACGCTTTCGGTTCTCATCCCACAGGCCAGCAGACAATGGCATTGGAGACTGAACCCCACACTCATTCATGTCCCACACATCTAGGAGAATATTAGACAGGCCATACCGAATTTTTTCGACAGCAATAAAGGTTTGGTAACTTCCGATAGCATGCTGTGGGCTGCCCATAAGGCAGTGATCCGAGGCGCCCTAGTTGCGGAGGCCACAGCACACAAAAGGCGTAAACTGGCTCAGCTAGCACACCACCTCTCGGAACTTAGGTGCATAGAGCACCTACATAAGCTCACCCCCATCACGGTAGAAGAGGTGGTTGACACAATTAAGACTCTGCGCCCCAATAAATGCCCAGGCCCGGGTGGGTTCTCCGGATTATACTATAAAACATTTTCTGGGGCCCTTCTCCCGCACCTTAGAGACCTGTTCACCTCCATAATTAAGGGGGAGGCGATACCACCAGACATGTTGCAGGCAAATATAAGCCTGATACCGAAGCCAGACAAATCCCATCAGGACCCTGGACATTTCCGCCCTATTTCGCTCCTTAACGTGGACATTAAGTTACTCACGAAACTCCTGGCTAATAGGTTGCAACCTTACCTCCCGAAGCTGATTCACCCAGACCAAGTGGGTTTTATCCCACACAGACAAGCTAGACGCACCTTTGATCTGCTGTGGGCAACCACACGTAAAAAGTCCCCCACACTGCTGCTTTCCCTTGACGCCGAAAAGGCATTCGACCGCATTCTATGGCCATACTTATTTGCAACACTGGACAGACTTGGACTTCCCCACGGGTTCCTGACGACAATCCGCAACCTATATTCATGCCCGACTGCACGGATACTCCTGCCGAACACCCCATCGCCCTCCTTTCACATATATAATGGTACACGACAGGGATGCCCCCTCTCGCCCCTCCTCTTTGCCCTCTCCCTCGAGCCCCTTCTCCAAAAGATAAGACTTGATTCTGCCATTAAGGGAATAACAATTCGGAAGGAGGAGTATAAGATCGCGGCTTATGCCGATGACCTTTTACTGACACTGACTGACCCTGAAGCCTCGTTGCCTCCTCTGTTACGTCTCTTAGAGGACTACTCTTTGATCTCGGGATATAAACTGAATCTGGACAAAACGGAGGCACTGGGACTTCATATCCCCCACGAGATGGACAGGTCCCTTCGAGAAATGTATCCATTCCGTTTTCGTCTGGATTGCATCAAGTATTTGGGGGTGTATCTCCCCGCGGACTTAAGCCTGACGTACCAATTGAATTATCTCCCGCTGATAGCACAGACCAAGACAGACCTGATGGAATGGCAAAAACTGTCCATTTCCTGGTTGGGCAGGATAGCCTCAGTGAAAATGACCCTCCTTCCACGTTTTTTATACTTGTTTCAAACTCTACCCATCCCGATCTCGAGACCGGATTTTAAAGCTTTGCAAACGCAGATAGATAAATTCATCTGGGGGGGAAGAGGATCCGAATAAAGAGGGCTACTCTGTATATCCCGCATAAGAGGGGAGGGCTGGGCCTCCCGAATCTGTGGGACTACCACCAAGCTGCCCAATTAGCACAGATCCAAACCCTCCACGCGCCGGCTGGGGTCAAGTTATGGGATGACTTAGAGCACGACCTTTTTGGGCAAGACCACCCTTCGCTATACTTGTGGGTGCCGAAACGCCACAGACCGGAAATGCCCTACACCACACCGGCCCTGCGGACGTCCATACAGGTTTGGGATAGGGTCGTCCGTAAGCACAACATTATAAACATGCCCTCCCCGCTCACGCCGGTACTGAGGAACACGCAATTTCCCCCGGGCATGACGCCCCGACACTTTGCCCACTTTGAAGACAACAATCTAATTAGACTTTGTCATTTTTTTCAGGGCACTAGCCTTCTCCCATTTGCCGATCTGCCACAATCCACCCCCTTCAACTCGTTTGATCATTTCCGTTACCTACAGCTGAGAAGTTTCTTGTCCACCCCTGACATTATGGCGGCGGCAACGACACCACTCACAAATTTTGAGAAAATGTGCCACCATACACCTGTACGGAAGGGCCAAATTTCGGCCAGGGATTCCCCTCCGGAGGCTTTCTCATATGTGAGGGAGTGGGAGAAAGACCTGGGCCCCCCAGGCGACCCTTCTGACTGGGCGGACATTTGGGAGGCCACAGCCTCCGTAACAATTTGTGTAAATCATAAGGAACAGGCATACAAAACCCTGCTCCGATGGTATGTCGCCCCCTTGCGGCTCAAACAGATGCGGCAATCGAACTCTGACCGCTGCTGGAAGGGCTGTGGGGCTCAGGGCACGTATCTCCACATGTGGTGGGAATGCATACATGTCGCCGGGCTTTGGAAGGAGATTATCGGTATCACCTCCAGAGCACTGCAAATAACCCTCCCAACAGACCCGTGGACATGGCTTTTATCCAAACCCTTAGAGGCCCTACCCAGAGCACAGAATAAACTAGTGGCAAAAATAGCGTTGGCGACCTGAAAGGCGATAGCAGCTCACTGGGGTCGGGCGGATACCCCGACAGTGCTGGAGGTGCGGAGAAAGATAGAGGAATCCAAGGAGATGGATGAGTTATCTGCCCTGGTTCACGAGACGACCAGCTCAGTCAGAAAAGTCTGGGGTCCCTGGGGTGCGGTGTAGTATTGGGGGGCGGGGGGGGGACACCGGCCCTCCAGTCCCTCTCACCACCCCAATCAGCTCCTGATGGAGACCCTTCCTTTTGCCCCTCTCCCCCTACCCCTACCACCTCCACTAGACCTGTAAAAGGATTTCCACATCCAGCGGAAGCCGGATTGGCTCTGCTATCCACGCATGTCACACTCATATACGCCATTGGAACACGAGCCTTCAGAGTCAAGACATAAGAGTGCCACAATTCGAAGAGCTAGATAACCCACAGGTACTTATCTGTCCATGGCCCTTTCTGACACTAGGTATGGCCTTAGTTACGCCTCACTTTCCACGTTTACCCCAGTTGTTTATCCCTTTTCCGGTTCAGAGTTGTAGTACACACGGCAAGCCGACCGCAACATAGACCCACCTGCTCCTGACATAAGCCAAATAAAGCCAAGCATATATACCTGAGCATACTTATACACTGGCCCCTCCAGAGACTGAAACTAGGTGCACCCCAGACAGCCAGTATGAAACGAGGGGGTTTTAAGTGAATCTAGGCACAGTCGGCCACTATAGAGGTTATGGGTAGATGAGTTGTAGATGTTCTGCTGTTCCCCATACCCTTTTCTTTTTTCTGTACCCCATATACTTACTCAAAATTCTCTAAATAAAGAATTTATAAAAAAAAACTTCCTTTGTCTAACTAATTGGGTCACATACTATTAATGAATAAATCAATTCTTGAGGATTCAATCACATGTCAATTTTTTCCTAAAAGAGACATCAGTCCAACTTGGACCTTTTGTGGTCCTTGAAGACTGATTTTATATACCATATACCATTCAATTTCAATATACCATTTCATTTTCCTAATGCACTGCACAGGATACAGTGCCTTGCAAAAGTATTCACCCCCCTTGACTTTTAACCAATTTGTTACATTACAGCCTCAAGTTCAATCTTTTATTAATCTGAATTTTATGTAATTGATCAGAACACATTAGTCTAAGTTGGTGAAGTGAAATTAGAAAAATATGTACATAAAACTATTTTTTAGAAATAAAAAACAGAAAATTGGCATGTGCGTATGCAGGGCCGGACTGGGAAAAAAATTAGGCCCGGGCATTTTTCAATTAGAGCGGCCCCCCCAAGAAGGGGGCGGGGCCAGAGAGGGTGTGTTTTGTCATCACTAATGACAAGCACGCCCCCTCTCAAAGTGAGCATGTTGGTTCAATGCGCAGGGCCCCGCTGAAGAGCTCTGGCATTAGAAAAAGGCCCTGAATTTGTTCTGCGCAGCGCAAGCAAATTTAATAACATGCTTGCGCTGTGTTTGCTTTTAAATTGTCTCTGGTGTCTCCACAAGTGGGATACCAGAGGACAAAAGGGCCAGGAAAGTGTATGGTGCATGTGTTTGGCGCCTGCTTGTGGGATTGCCTGTGTGTAGAGTGTGGTGTGGTATTGTGTAAATAGGTGTAATATGTGTTGCTAGGGGCTATAGAGAGTGCGTGTATAGGGGCATAGTGTTATAGGGGATGTAGCGAGTGTGTGCATACGGGCAGTAGTGTGTGTGTATAGGTGACGTAGTGTGTGTAGGGGTTGTAGAGAGGGTGTGTTTAGAGAATGTTGTATGTCTTTCCTTACAAGGAATATAGTGTGTGTGTGTGTAAGAGATCTAGTGTGTAAAGGACCCAGAGTGTGTATAGAAGATTGTGTGTGTGTGTGTATGTGTGTAGAGGATTAAGAGTGCATATAGGGAAAGGGATCTAGCGTGTATCTGGAGCGTAATGTGTGTAGGGGTGCTGTAGTGTGTGTGTGTGTGTGTGTGTGTGTGTATATATATATATATATTTTTGGACGTATTGTATGTGTGAGGTGCGCAGTGTGTTTG